TAAATAAACTATAAATTATTTAGTATTTAGACTTTAATTTAAATTGTGAAGCATTTTTAAGTTTCCTTAATGTCTGAGCATCCAACATTTAATTTAATTAAAGCAGGAGATTTTATGAAAATTATTTTTTTTTCTTAAAACTCAACAATAAATTTGGCAACCCAATTCTGTGCACACACTGTATATTGTCTTTTCCAATTAATTGCAATAATAAGACCTTAATATAATGAGGGCCAGTTTATTAATGTCCAGTTAAAGTTGCAGTTAGTTATCTAGATTATTTCCATGGATACCATTGTTCTCACAACAATCAATAAAAAATTTAACTGTCAGATAGACTAACTGGAACTTAACCAGAGATTAGAAATAAGACCTATTTTTTGGTATTTTTAAATTTTATTTTAAATTTGATTTCCTCAGTTATTGTGTAACATTTCTGTGGGTAAAAGGCATAAGGGGATAAGTCAAAAAAAGCAATTTTTCGGTAGAGACTTAAACGTGTTCGCATTAATTCAGGAAATATATTTATGGTTAGCGAGTATACCCTTTTGCTAGCATATGACATGTGTTGGCAACAGTATATACCCGCTAACCATAAATGTATTTCCTAAATTAATGCGAACACGTTTAAGGCACTACTAAAAAATTGATTGTTTTGACTTATCCCCTTATGCCTTTTACCCACAGATTTGCAGTGTATGAAAACGAAGAATATTTTATATCAACATCTTGTATTTATTTAAAAAAAATGATTTTTGGTCTATTTTGGTCCAAACATAAGTATAAAAAACAAAACACTAAACACCACAAAAATAGGTAAAAAGTTTTGATTTAAACAAAAAAATTGTATTTTTAATTATCAAATTTTTGGTTTTTGAAAGATCTACCCCCGCCATTTTCCCCGTTAAAAAGTGTTTTTCTTCCTTAATAAATATAAACCTTTTTATAAATACTAATATAACGTTTTATATGTAGTTCTATATTTAATGGTATTACTAAAAATTGCCTTGTTCTTTTACCCAACAATTTAGAAACACTCCTAGATGACCAACTTTTTTACAAAAAAATGTAGAATAAATTAAAGAACAAAATACGAGAATAAATTTATTCAAAATAAATCTTTAAAATCAACCTTTTGGTAAAATATGAAAATAACATTCAAAAAGTTGTTAAACACCTACAACTGTTACTGGAATATTTTTTTATGCAAGCAATCGTTTACTTACTGTAGGGCCTTCTTAAATAATTAATTATTACTAAAATATGCAACATATTAAAAAAATGCAATAATACGGTATTATTAATAACATAGTAACTGAACTAACTCTACTGGACATATTCTGAGTTTCATTAACAGTGATTATCTTTTTCTTTTAGCAACTGCAGTAGCAGCTGTTGCCGCAGCTGGTGCCACTTTGGTTCCGGAAGCAGCTGCAGAAACATCGACCAAAACGCCGTCCCCTTCGGCCGGCAAAAAAGCGGCAGCCGCCCCCAAAACCAGAACATCCGTCGGATCGGCCATTAAGAAGACTCCAACGACCAAACCGCAGCCGGCTAAAGCTTCTAGCGCCTCCAAGTTGGGCGCCGCCAAAGCCCCGGCAACTCCTACCAGCGCCACCAGGTTGAGTTTGACCAAGGCTTCGCCAAAACCAGGGTAAGAATCAAAAAAATATGTCAAATATTTTTTTCCAAAACTGTCTTAAAACAGACAATTTTGAGTGAGATATCTCTGATATGAAATGAAAAAATCATCCAAAACCAGGGTAAGAATCAAAAAAATATGTCAAATATTTGTTTCCAAAACTGTCTTAAAACAGACAATTTTGAGTGAGATATCTCTGATATGAAATGAAAAAATCATCAAGATTTTTAAGTTAAAAATCGGATAATTTAAAGATTTTATGATATTTAGAAAAAAAGTAAAAACTTTATTTTACAACTTTGTCCAGTCAGATCATTTGTAGGAAATATATTTTGATAAAATAGATGGGAAAATTCCCATTTGACAAAAATTCCCATTTTCCAAGAGTTAAAAAAAATATATATTGCGGAAATGAGTTTTTTGTGCCAGGAGGATTGCAAAAATAAATAATATTGGCTTCCTATATAGGAATATTGTAAAGTACTAAAAATCCTAATAATAGTATTGCAGTTCTGACCAATAAATTATAAAAAAAACTACAGGCAAAATAAAAATAATATTTTTAAGTGAGCCTGAGTATCGTTTTTTATAATACAGGCTCTGGAGTTGCTGCAATTATGTTTATTAGTGCAGGGCTCCCACACCTCCTAAAATTCATAAAATTTGGCTTAAATCTTAAAAACTCCTAAAATTCTCCTAAAATTGCCATCAATCTCCTAAAACTCCCAAAAATTAAATATAAGTAGGCGTTTTATTAAGGTAGTTGTGCTAAAATATTTCTTTTTAAAAAGTAATTTAAAAAATATATATTTTTGGGTTCTAGTTTATTAAATTTTTTTTTTAAATATATAAATATACCATAAAACAAAATCCTTGTAGTAGCTTCTAGACTTCTACAAAATTGTCATTTTTAGCCATATTTCGTTAATTTTCGACAAAAATATACCATGTTATATATCAAACAAAAGGATTTTTAATTTTCTTTTAAGTGACAGCTAAAATACTAAACAATCTAAAGAATGTTTTGCTGTATCATAAACTTTATATTTTTTCTATTATGAAATTTTTTAGTAACAATAACATTACAATTATTGTTAGTTATTAACTAAACTGTTACTTTTTTTTCAAAATATAAATATAACATCATTAAACTTTGGCCTACTTTTTTAGCCATATCTATCGACGCTTTTTTTTAAATAAAATTAAAAGTGTGGTGAAGTTTCTACTTTGGCTACTTTTTTAGCCATATCTCTCGACGCTTTTTTTTTAAATAATATTAAAAGTGTGGTAAAATTTCTACTGTTGTATACAAAAATAGTAATTTTACCTCACTTTTCATTTTATTAAAAAAAACTCGTTGAGCGATTTGGCTAAAAAACTGGTCAATATAACCTATTTGTACAAAATAAGTGATATTTATTTATATTTTTGTTAAAAAGAATTACTTATTTTTTTCTTATTTTTTAAGTAAGTATAAATTAGAGTGGTTTTTATTTCATTAAATAAATTCATTTGCATACTTTTTCTCCTAAAATTCTCCAAAAAACCTCCTAAATTCCTAAATAAATTTTTTAATTTAACTGTGGGAGCCCTGTTAGTGCCACCCCATTGACATATCTCCAACCATCTGAAAGAATCGTCATATTATCAGCCTCTTGTACTTTATCTTCAACTACTTTTTTGATTCTAGCATATTCAGAGTTAAGCAATGTTGTACTTAATTTATTTCTAGCAGGTAGCTTAAAACTTGGACGTAGTTGCTTAAAAAAAATTATAACTTCAGGGTAACTAAAACTGCGTTTTTTCACGATAATTAAGTTTTTGTTCATATATATTAAGATACGTTAATATAAAAAATAGTATTAAAAATTAGGTATTTAACTCAAACAAAATGTCAATAAAAACTTGTATAAAAAACCTTTTATAATAGCGTATCGGGCGCGACCTTAGAAAATCGGCAAATGCGGCCAAGTTGGCTTCTAAAGTTGATACTGTAAAATTTTGGATGAAAGCATATAGTAATAATTTTTTGTGTAAAACTTGAATAGTAACCTTAAACAAGCACGTATCTTAAATGCACAAATATTGTATACTTTATTTTCTAAAATTTTCTCAAAATGTAACGGGTGCGACATTTGAACATTTTATCGAGTATTGAAACTCTTCCGTGTTTATTCTTAATGTTAGCTTCTTAGCATCACAATGTACGAATATTTTAAGGTTATAAATTACGTCGCAATTAAACTATTTGACTTCAGATATAGTTGTTTTTTGTTAAATAACACATCTGATTTTTTGTCAAGGTGGGGTAAGGTTTTGAGGAAATACCTTAAAATAAAGGGGCAAGAACTAGAGTAAATTGCTCGAGCAAATAGTTCTTCCAATTTATTGTGTTTGTTAAGAGACATGTTATCAACAAATTCTTTTATGCTTCCAGAACTGGCATTGCCACCTGGTGGACTCTCTTCTTGACTTTCAGTAGATTTAAAATTTTGCATAGATAATCTTATAATATAAGATGGGGCACAAGAACACTTTTTTATATGTTTGACCATTTTGGTTGCATTAACGACATATATTTTTTTTACAGAAGTTGCATTGAGCATGGTCTTTTTTTGCACTATTTTGTAATAATTCCAAATATAAGATTTTCCTCTTGGAATTGTACTGTACCTATAAATAAACAGCAAAAATGTAGGTCTTGTTTGTTTTATTTAACACGTTATAAATTTTGATTAGTATATTTAGGTTTTATTATTGCAATTCATTGGAAAAGACGATATACAGTGTGTCCACAGATCAGGTTGCCAAAAGTAACTTGCGTTTTACAAAAAAAAAATCATAAAAACTTCTGCTTGTTTAAAAAATTATATTTCCATAAAAAAATTGAATCAAATTTACAGGGTGCTCAGAAATTAAGTAAACATGAAAATGCTTAGTTATTATTCAATAGAAAACATTTTTAAGAGGAAGTTCTTGAAAATTCAAATTTAAATACGAAATAAGAATTATTATTCTAATTTTAAATTGTATTTATTACTATTAATAAACTAAAAATTATTTAGTATTTAGACTATAATTTAAATTGTCAACGACATTCTCTTATAAATTTTTGCTATTGCACTATTTTGTAATAATTTCAATGTAAGATTTTTCTCTTGGCATTGTACTGTACCTATAAATAAACAACAAAAAGTTTCCAGGAATGTTTCTGGTAACTTTAAAAATAAATTCTTGACTGGAAACTTCCATATTCCCATCTTTATATTTCTTACAGATGTGTTATAATGAAATTCTCATAAAAAATTTAAATTACATGTACAGGTTAAAAATTAAGAAAACGTACATCAATGAAAAAATGAATCCACCCAAAATAATAATTTTTAGTATTAACTATGTAATTATTGTTTTTAGAGCGAAACCATTGGCCGCCAAAACAACAACCACGGCGGCATCTAAACCCGCCCCCAAACCCGCAGCTGCCTCACGAACCTTGATGGCACCAAAACCGAAACCAACAACTACTGCCGCCCCGATCAGCAAAAAACCTCTTACAAACGGAGATGCGAGACCTAAAACCGCTCCAGCACCGAGACCAGGAGCGGCGAAACCGGCGGCTCCGTCTGCAGCCGCTAAACCTGCCGCTACCAGACCGCCGCCAATTACGAGACCGTCGACCGCTCCCAAAGCCGCCACCGCGGCCGCCAAGCCTGCTAGTAGCATCACTGCTACAAAGACTACTACTAGTAGCACTCTGTTGAATCGGAACCCTGCTACAAAGACAGCGACTACCACTAGGGTAAGTGGATACTAGCTCTAATTAAAAAATTATTCGTTTCCTTAAATTAAAAAATTGGGAAAAACCTGTTTTTTTTTCGTGCCTTGGAAAAATGGCTTTTTTGGGAAAAAATGATTTTTTTTTTGAAAATTACACTTTCCATAAAAGTGGCATTCAACAACTTAACATTATTTTAGTTTAAAAAAATTATCCTTTTTTCAAGCATACAATAATTTTCATATAAAAATTAATTATAGCTAACTAAATAAATACAGTGTAAAAAAAGTAGGGCACTTTTAAGATAAGCCTCTTATTCTTCTAATATATTGATTTAAAGGTAAATTAAAAATATCAAAATTCTCTTCAATCATACTTGAACTCCGACACATTGAATTTATGGAAGAGTTCTTTTGTTCGTTAATATTTGCAGCTTCTACAGAGAAAGCTTGGTGATACCTAGAATTTAGTCTTGGAATATAAAATTTATCTTTAAGAGAACATTGGGGTCAAAAATTTACCGTCGACTATTTTATATGGATAAAACAAGCAAGCATTTCTTCTACCTCCAAATTTTTCATGTCAAAGAACATTAAAGTACCAACATAATCAAAGTTAAAAACGGTGTAATATCCATAGAACAGGTAACAGAAATATCTACAAAACTTTCTTTGAATTTTTTCAACATTATCAATATGAATGTCATAAAATGGTGACCAAATAAAGCAGGCATATTCAAATTTACTACGAATATAAGTGTTATATAGGATTTACCTTTACTTTTATCTAGGTTTTTAAATTCTTTGGTGTTACGTGCTAACATTTCATTAGCTTCTTTTATTACAATATTTATATGAGGAACGAATGATAAAGATTTCTCAAAAGTAAAGTCCAAGTCTTTAATTGTTTCAACATTTCTTAAGGTTTCATTATTTATTTAATAATTAAAAACAATATTCATTTTTCTAGAAAACGTAACATATAGTAAATTTGATGAGCCAATGTCATTTGTTATATCATTAACAAACATTAGGAACAATAAAGGTCCAATATTGCTCCCTTGGGTAACTCCACTAAGACTCATAAATCTATATAGAAAGACTTCATATTAATACTAGTTCAAAAGTCAAATTATTATTAAGCTCCGTACAGAAATGAAGATAAATGGCATCATGTCAGTGGAACCTAACCTAAAAATGATGACAATCTTAAGAAATTATTTAATTAAATGCTTGAAAAAAATAGTATATAAAATAAAACACGGCGGCGAAAGCTTATTAATTGCCTCGGCAGTGAAATTTACCCTCGGCAATAATATGTGCTTTCTCCGTATGGTCTATAATGTACTAAGTATTATACGCTAAAGAAGTATCGCTAGTAGCGCCACCACTCGGCATCGTAACAAAAGTATAACTTTTAATAATCAGCTCATGGAGCCTACACAAGGAGCCCGAACTTAATAGGGAAAATTGACAAAATCTGTCCACTAAATTGCACAATTTAAGTCTTTTTTTTCACCACCAGCGGCGCTGCTTGTTGATGCGTCCGAATGACGTGAATATAGTATCGAAAATACATGACATGTGTCATGTGTCTATGTTGTGAAGTAAGCAAGTAAGTTTTGACAATTGATTTGCAATAATGTTTTGATGTACGAATCGTTTTGTTTTTTATGGCTGTACGTTAGCAATAGGCCGAGAAGCGATACATAAGATGGAATCTACCTCACCTTTTAAATAAATGTTGTACCCCAACTCAAGCGAGATATATCTAAAATGTGCTTAAACTGTTGAGTGATCGCTAAAACTACAAAAAATGTGCTATAAAAAGGTGTAATATAAGCGTCATAAATGAAAAATATTAAAGTGTGTATAAAATGTGACATACGTAAGATAGACTGAAGCTTTGCAAAATTTCTTTAAACAATGTACCTACTAAAACTGTGCAAACAATGTGCTAAAATATAATGTAATATAAGCGTGACATATGACAAATAAAAAGTAAGAGTAAAAAACTTAATTATTTCAAAAAGTGTGAAATTACCACAAAGTAGCGTGTATGCACATTGTTATAAAGACTTGCACTCCAAATAAACACTTATTGCACACTTTTCATGCACGCTTTATTTTCGCCAGGGTAATTATTCCATCCATTTCTGGACCTAAAAATGTTTGGATGTTAACAACCTCCAATGGTGTCAGTGCTGCAAGCCGAGAGGTCATGGGTTTGATATATTTTAAATATTTTATAGTATTTGCAAAACTTTTGTTAAACTTAAATAAAAAAAGTATGTAGAAAACGAGTAAACAGCATATTTAATAATTTCTACCTTTATTTGTTTATATTGAACTTTTATTTAAGCCATCTATAGATATACCTATAAAACTAAAAATAAATACCATATGGATTTAATATTCTGTTCGTTTTACACGATTTAACATCACACGACATTCTATTATAGAAAAAAACACGTATTTATAAAAAAACTGTGCTCTACATCAGAAAGTCCAACATGAATTCCAATGTTAAATTTGATATTAATTTATTGTAAATTAAGACCTTTATACACAAAACCAGGTACATGGGTACATTGTTTTCAGAAAGTGATAAACTGACAGTTGCATAACCTCAATTATTTGCACAATAATAAGTGGTAGGTAGTGGCGCCATCTCTGGTTACACCCCTCTACTGTTTTGGACCGGTAGTACACCAGCGCCCTCTTATCTAAGGAAGATTCTTGTTTACATGAAGTTCGGGCTCCTTGTGTAGGCTCCATGAATCAGCTGTTAAACGCTTTGTTACAAACGAGTGTTTTTAAGAATAAAGCCGGAAAATGTTAAAAAATATCGGAAAAAACCGTGGCTCGATTTTTTGTGTTGTTGGGTTTCGAGAGGAAATCTTGGGTTGAGTTTTTACCGGTTTTCCAATAAACAGTGTTAATCTGAATGAAGAAATAAATTGCATACTGTCTCTGTAAATGTAAATTGTACCTATTAGATACAATAAATACACATTTTAGTAGTGATTAACGTGAGAAGTGTAAATATTTAAATTCAGTAAAATAAGTCGTCTAAATTTAAACAGCATTTAGCATTATTAAAAGCGTTGATTAAGAAAGTCTCCACTCAATGGTAAAATACCATTATATTATGTATTGTATATAATATTATGTTGCCATGAATTCGTAGGTATATTTTGTTATTTAAAATGCAGTTGTCGGCGTTTTTTAGAGAATTCAAATATAAACATGGTTGATTTGAAGGTTATGTTTGTGCACAAATTATTTTTTACTTAAAAATGTCCAAACATAAATATAAATTATATTAAGTAAAGTTATCATTAGTTAATTCTGCACCAACACATGTACTTACCAAATTGGATCCTTTGGCAAAACATGAAAATGCAACGATTTAGTTCTTGAATTTTATTTACAATTAAAAACACAATAATTCAACATGATAAAATACACATACTAACGTAACTATATAAGCATTTAAGCATTGAGTTTCTTAATCAATAAAATAAGGAATAATCAATCGAAATCGAGTAGGTACTAAAAAAGTTTTTAATTTTTTCCTTGTAACGTAAAACACAAATAACTTACGCGATTTAGCTGTGCAATTGAATAAAATTTGTCGAGTAAGATTTCTGCCTTCCTCTCTTTTGTGAAAAAACTACCTATTTATTTAATCATGATGTATAGTATAATCTGTGCTCTAAATGTATTGTTAACAATATACGCAATGCTATAGAAGTCCACCAGATGGCGCGCGCGTTGCGAAAACCCGATACTTCTTTAGCGTATTAACGTAAAAACAACTAAACAATTAATTGAATTTAATTTATTAAAGAAAATAAACATAATATAATAATATGATTATAATCAGAGTCGGAAATTCACTTTTTTTCTCGATATCAGTGTACGGATATCATGCGTGAAAATTTTCCAATGTTTCCGGTTTTCCGTAAAAAACGGTTTTTTTCCAGAAATTTTAAAACATAACACCTTAATCAAGTCATGTCTTTATTTGTGTCCTCCATACTTGTCGGACTTTTGAAACCGACCCAGCCAATAACATTGTTCTTTCCTTTCAGACGACTGCCACGAAACAAGCTTCATCAACGTCTTCAAAATCAGCGGCTGCGCCTGCGCCCAAGCCCCGAACCACATTGTCGTCGGTGACGGCGTCAAAACCGCGTGTGCCGCTCACGAAAACCGTCACCAAAGCGGGAGCGGACACCGAGAAGCAGATAAAAGAGAGCGCAAACAAGTTGACGGCATCGAGAGTTTCGAGCGCCAGAGCAGCCGCAGGAGCAGGTCCTGCGGCAACGAAATCGACCGTGCGCAAAACAGAAGTTGGCAAGGTAAGGAAATACAATGTTTTGTTTGTAATATATTTTACCTCTACCCACTGGGTCAGAATTTGTAAAATCAGCATTATTTTTTTTTAATCTTAAAAAAATTAGTCGACCAAATTATTTTATTTTTTAGCAAAGTTCTTGTCAAATGAAATTTTTGGTAACTTTTTAAACAAAATCTAGTTATAGATATATAGATATAGAAATTGACCATGGAAAATAGGTCAAACATTTCAAAAAAATAGTTTTTTTATAAAAAATTTTGAAAATTTTCATTAACAATTGTTTTTGTTTTGTTTAAAAAAATGTCACTTCTCAACAAAACTTAAAAGAATCTAAATCCGTCGAGAAAAAATCGAGCGTCAATGATTAAAATAATGCTGTCGACACAACAAAAACTTTTTTTTTGTATTATGATTAATAGATTAATTATTAAAACTATTTAAATAAACCAATTTGAATCTTTACAATATAATTACTCCCAACTACTTATTTTAAGCCACGACAATATTTTACTCGTAGTTCTATATATTATATTAATAATGCCCGTATTACAGTCTGCAATTATACGTGCAATACGCAATACTCAGGCACAATGGGATGCGCATAACAACGTTTTGTGCCAGTTGCATACAAATCTGGGGAAGAAGTTGGTATTTTTTTTTATACCAATCCACACTTTAAATTCCCTAGAAACGCTGGTTTGTTTTTTGAAGTCATTTTTGTGATGTTTTTTGTATTTTAAATTCAATTACATAATATATATTATAATTTCGTGTGGCAGGAGCTAAGTTTAATTTTAATTGTGCTTTATAATATTTTATAAATTTTTATATTTTTCTTTGGTTGATATCATGGAAGTTGGAATAAGAATTGCAAAGTGTATTACAGTCAGCAACAAAACTTGCATGCAAAAAAAATTGCACCAAGAAAGATTGCTGCAAAAAAATGCAGACTGTATTACAGGCTTTACAGAAAATAAGACAATACTTACTAAACTGACAGATACCTAACATTAATTCTACGTCATAATAGGCTGCTTTACCTCTAAATATTAAATTATATAATTAAAAGTATAGATACCAAGTAATATGATGTAACATGAAGTTATATCTCGAGTAATACAGCGTAATATTAGGTAATACAACTTAGTGATTATATAATTAAAAGTAATAGATTGTAATGTAATACGTAATGAGTATTACGACTTTTTGCGCTATATGTAGGTGTACAAATTTAGCCAGGTTGTTTCCCCCTCGTATAATATATTATATCCGAAAAATTAAAATGGTTTTCAAGTTTAGTGTATTTTATCGATTTTTTATTTGTTTTGGAATCAAAATTCCCGTATAACAAACTTTAGTTTTTCCAAATATATTAAGATTTATATTAATATTTCCATGGAGTACGAATGGCTTTCCAAAATAAGAGGGCGCTACAAAAATTATCCAAGCCCATTATGGAAATGGGCAATCGAGGAAAATGCGTGATTTTCTTGATGCGCAAAATCGACTTTCTGAGAGATTAATTTGGTATGTGGTCTAAATATTCCAGCTAGCTACGGATCCAGTTTGTTGGAATTTTTAGACCACATACCAAATTAACCTCTCAGAAAGTGGTTTAGGCTAAGTATGCTCATAGAGGTCGTTTAAAAGAAAAAAATATTGCCATTGTTCGCAAAAGTGGCCGAAAATCCAAGCACAGCAAGTGGGCCTTACGTAGTCCACTACACAACAAATTAAAAAAAATTTGCAGTTACACCGATACAAACTTTAAATAACGCAGAAATTAAAGCTTATCTTTCATACATAATTGTACTTTTTTAAATTGTATTGCTGGACCAGGGTTATCTACTATTTTTAAACCTTTTTTTTTTAATTTTAGAACTTGACGAAAACGATTACGTCCGCTGCAGCCACATCAAGCAAAACATTGGTAGGAAAAAAACCGTTGGAGATCACAAGGAACGTGACAAAAACCAAGACCACAAAAGTGGAAAAGCCCAAAGAAAACGGAATTTCCTCCACGGTGGTGACTGAGGAGATCACGGCTGTTAACAATTTAATAAACTGCAGCCCAACGGAGGTAATGGGGGAGATGGAGATAATGGGAGTCCAAAAAGATAATTCCCCAATTGACAACAAGTTAATTGTCGAGAATAACCTAATTGAGGCTACCAATGCAGACTGAACTGGATTTTTTACTAACAATTTTATTATAACACTTAGAACATATAATTTAATTTGTTATATTTACTTTTTTATATCTTTACGCCCCCATCCCCTTATGAATGTATAGAGCTGTGGTAATATTATTAATAAGTAACTAAGTGGTTTGGATATAACGAGAGACTCTGGTGTCTACTTAAGATTTAATTTATATATATTATTATCGACATTATATGATTATGGTCGATTGATTAAAATTTGTATGTATTTATTATTACAATAAGTTAAGCTTTTTATCGCTTAGGTGTGCTGATGTGATGCTACGCACTCTTCTGTAAATATATTTGAAGTTTATTGGGTGCTAATTTTTGTATTGGCCTACTTTTTATTTACTAGTTTTATTGAAAACTTATTTTAATAAAATTTTAACAGCATGCTAAGAAAATGTTACTTAATTTTACAACTTGTAGTACCAAACTTTTTTTCTCGCTTTTAAACATGCATAGTAATGCGTAGTTTTTTATTTTGTTTCGTACATACATATTCGGGGTGTCCGACTAACAGGACGCCCTGTATTTTTAACTTTTACTTAAGATATTTTTGTTTTTTGATTATTTAAAATTTTATTATCGTTTGTCCTAGTTTTTGCATATTTATTGTGAATTATTATATTCTTTCAGCACAAAATAATAAAACAGTTTCTCAAGAACTCAACAAATTTAGTTTTTCTATTATAACCGCCCTAATAACATATATAAATATATATTAAAATAAATTATCCCTGCCTAAAAGAAATATTCCCCTATGCAAGGGGTCCCCCTAAATAAATACCCTGTTCATATAAAATCAACTTCAAGTATTTATTTCTTTATTAGAAAGCCAGTTATTAACATAACGCAATATATATTATTGAGCAAGACCGACCTAAATTAATATTTTTCAATTTTTTACTTTAATACTTTTTTTAGTAGGGCTAAAAATCACTGCAACACTGCACATCAATGGCGGCCATTTTTGTTGTTTACAATTCTTGTGCTTTGGGTTTGTACAGATTAATAATCGTTTTGAACGTTGTGTTTCTTACAGAGAGACCTGCAAGCCTTAAAAGAGACCTCAAAGTGGTAAGAACAATCATTTTACTCCTCTTGTGGGTTATAAAATAACCTTAAACCAACCTTCAAATTGACATTTGACAGCCCTAAATGTCAATTTGAGGGTTATAAAATAACCTTAAATTAACCTTCAAATTGACATTTGACAGCCCTAAATGTCCATTTGAGGGTTATAAAATAACCTTAAATTAACCTTCAAATTGACATTTGACAGCCCTAATAGAATAAGGTTTATTTTTTACAAAAGAGGAGTAAAATGATTGTTCTTACCACTTTGAGGTTTCTTTTAAGGCTTGCAAGTCTCTCTAACCCAAAGCACAAGAATTGTAAACAACAAAAATGGCCGCCATTGTATGATGTGCAGTGTTGCAGTGATTTTTAGTATTTTTACTACCTTGTTGTGTGGATTGTGATTTAACGTAAATATATTTGTGTTCACATTAATTCGCACAATACTGTATCTTAAATAATTTAGGTAATACGTAATACCTAAATTATTTAAGATACAGTTTTAGGTACCTAACAAATTTGTTAGGTAATACCTAAATTATTTAAAATTACAGAAATTTAATTAATTATAATTTTCTATTTATATTTATTTTAAAAATTTCTTGACCAAATGTCTTTTTTCAAGATTTCACTGCGAATTTGTATTATTTAATTAAGAAGATAGTTTTATAAAGATTTCTGTAAAAAATATATGTAGTAACCCAGTAAGCACCAAACACTCGGCAAACAGTCGGCCTTCGCTCGGCATAGGCGGTTGACCGGCGGTTCGGCTTGCCCCCCAGTCGTCCCGCTAGCCCGTTACCGTTTGGCCATGTTCTAACCAAAGTCGACCAGAATACGGAATGCCGCTGCAAAATCGTTCGGCTTGCCCTAGCCGGCCCACTTAAGGCTGGAATACGGCCTGCCGCGGCATAAGCAATACATCTCACGGCTGCTTACGCAAGCGAGCTAACTATAAATAGCGATGGGTTGCAACATTTAGTTGGAAGTGTGCGTCTGTAATGGCATAGCTGTACATTAATTGTTTGAAGTCCCCATCTCCATCCTCATCTGCTCAGTAACGAATAATGGCTAGCTATAGTCGAGTGTGTTAAACCTATAGGATATACCTATCCAGGACGTCTGAAGGCTTTTTTTGAATGGCCTGCAGGCTGTTGTGGCCGGCACTCCGCCAACTATACACAGCCGACACTCGGCCGAGTAAACATAGCCGACATTCGGCCAGGCGGACATGCCCGGCCTACACACCGGAACAAATACATGTGTCGGGCCGCACGCAGCCGATTCGGCAAAACGTATTCGGGCCGTATGCGGTCCGGCTAGCTTGTGCTTACTGGGAATGTATTTACCACATAGGTGTGGTTTTTACAAAGCTTTGTAAAGCAGCATTTTTGGTTCCAAAAACCATTGCCAAAGTGGTGATAACTTTAAATTAGTTAAGTATACTAAACAGCTACTTTAATTTTTACTTAAGAGTAATTCTAACTTTTAAATAGCAATATTTTGTAACAGAAACTTAATTTTTCCTTAAATTGTTACTATAAAGTAATAAACATTTAAGTAAAACTTGGTTGCCCCCAAGAAGACTTTGCAACTTTAAAAAAACTTTCAAGTAAATTTAATTTGTAGCAGTTACTTTCGGTTGCTACCTAAAGATTACATTATAATTATTTTTACTTTGTAGTCCCTTTGCAAGTTAAAATCTCGAAACTGGAACATGAGTTAAAAACTACAAAGTTATTACTTAAAAGTTATTATTTTAGTATTTGGAACGTTTATGGTACTAACCAAAACAACCGTAAAGTGGAAAAAAACTTTAAAGTAGCGAAAACTACTTCAAAGGAAAATGCTTCTTATCGGCCATTTTTTACTGTACAGTACCACGTGGTAATGTAAATAATATATTATTTTAATTGTTTGTAAATGGTTGTTTACTTTTTAATAAATAGAAATATTATTGGTAATAGACGGTATTAATAATTAAATAAAAAAAATAATAATAAATATTAAGATTTTTTTATTTATAAACATTACTAAATAAATAATTTGTTTATACTTAAATATTGATGAAGCGCATTTATTTTACAAAAACTAAATTCATAAGTTCAACAGTAAAATTTAAAGGGTTTATAAATCTACCTGTCTAATTAAACATTATATTGTTATTCTGGAAGTTATAAACTATAGTTAGGTATACCAGTACATATTTAATAAACGACGACATTGAAAAGCCAAGTCCGTAGTGGTTCCATTTAAAAAAGGAGGGATAGTATAATCTAATATAAGTTTGACAAAGACAGTTAATATAGAAGTAAAAACAAATAATAAAAGTAATTATAACGCTCTAGCAACGATATTGGAACGTTCTAGTAACGTAGCAGCTACGTCCCAAATAGTAACAGGGTTTATAGCTAGTGACATATTTGCTACCTTTTTGGAACTCAATAATTGTTCCCCACTTTAGTCGTAACGTAGTAATGAAAGAGTAATATAAAGAGACCGGCGACTGTCGCAAAACACTTTGAAGTTTCTTCAATATTCCCATATACGTAACAAATACTTAAATTGTTGCTTGGGAGAGTACGGGGTGAGTATTAATAATACTATATTATGTGACGTATTTGTCTCTTTTAGACCCCCTACCCCTCGTAACATACCGTACGGTTACGTAACATTTCGCTTAGCCCCCCACTGTAACACTAGGAAATTTTAATATAATGTATAATTTTGATGTTCCAATAGTGTAAATAATTAATTATCCTATAGTTTTCCGTTTTTTATTAGAGCCTTCAGCTGTGCCGTGTATTAATATTATAATAGGCAATTGCCTAACTTCTTTTTTTGTTTTTTTTTGTAAATTAAATAATAAATTGCAAACACATATGAGGCCAAACCCCCCTCCCTCACAGTAACAAACCGTAACGTTCGTGCACGACCGTTACGTAATACTTGAATGACCCCTAGGTGATAATTCTCAGGACCTTCTCTTTTATCTGGTTAACTCTAAAAAAATACCATCCACTTGTTCTTTATTATTATTATTACGTGTGACTAACAGGCACCGAGCCTTGGTGCAAAAACCGGACAAGTCCATTTTTGTGATAAGCAAACATGTTTTATTTTTTATTACTTAACATTGTAATTAACACATTTTTGCTTATCACAAAAATGGACTTGTCCGGTTTTTGCACCAAGGTCTTCAATTACAAGAATACAAGGGATGGAACAAACACAATAAACAGCTGTTACCCATGTGGGATTCGAACCCACGACAAATTAAATAAAAAATATTTTTTTACATTTAAAATCCATATTTAAAATACTTGGTGATAATTTTTATGTAAAGGGTTTTTCAAAAACATCTATCACTCGAGTGATAAATCTTTGAAATGGGATCGAACAAGGTGCAAAAAAAGTACCTAACGACTTTGTTTTACTTTTAGATAAAAGAGTATATTATAACATTATACATGGAAAATAACATCTGGCAAATGGCCTCCGCGGCTTCGATGTGTTGCGTCCATTCGAGAAGCCCAATTTTGGATTACTTTCTGGCAGAGATCGGGTTAACCCAATTGTATTTCGCCAATGACGTGTCGGCTATTGTCTCTGAGTGCTTCAATAGTTCCCCTGCTTAAAATACCCCATAGGGACCTATACAAAATAATCTATCGGGCGCTACCGGATTCAATATGAGCATTTGTCCATGGTTTTTTCCGGATACGGCCCGATAGAAAATGTATAGGAAATTACCTATAGGCACACCATAACTTTTACATTTTTCCTATTGAGACCGATAGCAAATAACTCAATGAAGGATATATAGGGATATCCCTATAGAGCAACCATAAAACATTTGTCAAAATTTTATTAAAACCTATAGGGTTCTATGGGGGAAAAA